AGGCGCCGCAGCCTCTCGACGAGTGCTTGAATCGGAACTTTTTAGTCTGATTCTCGGTACGATTAGTACTAAGTTTTTTTAAAAGTGATCCACCGAAAATACACGCTAGACTTTTGACAGAAATTTAATTAAAAAAAATAAAATAAAATAAAAAAATTAAAAAAACGCGCGCAGAAGTGATTCTTGATTTTCGGTAAGACAGAACTATAAGTAATTTAGTGAAATTGATTATTTAATGAAAATAATAATTAAATGAACGTGAGTAACAGAGGACACAGAGTGAAACAAACGCGTGATAAACCACATTCGAGGGCGGGCAATAGTATTTTGTGATGTAATCCTTTGTGTGGTAATTAATTCTTAATTACATAACGTTATATGACGAGATATAATTTTGTTAAATTTATTATCCTTTTCGATCGTATTGGTTTTCACCAGGGACTGTTTTGTATAACTGCTGCTATATACATTAAAATACTATACGCATAATAGTGTAATCATAGTATGAAAAACGTAAACTAGTAATAACTTGTTAAATGATACTGTAAATATTATACAATTCGCCTAGATATTATAAGTAAAAACGTGTACTTGGAAAAATGTATATAATGCAGTGTACTTTTAATTATATATTAGGTGAAATAATAAACGGCTTCTTTTGTTGTTTGCAGAAATGAATTTCACTTGAATCAACGAATCAATGTTTATTAAATCAAAAAAAATTTATTTCAATTAACATAAAAGTACATCTTCAAATTTGTCTCTGTATAAAAAGTTACATTAAATCCTGTTAAATGTAATGATTTGTAATTTCTTTTATTGTGCATTTTTATACTTCCAATCTGTTTTTAATCGGTTGGTTGTGGAACTATTCGAAGATATGATTTACCCGAAGGTAAACAGAGAGTCTTAATATTATTACCATATGTTTGTTTTGCTTCATCATCGTTAACAGTTGGTAAAATCATCACTGGTTGACCTTTCTGAAAATAATTGTTATCTTTTATTTAAATAGTTTATTTGTTTATGCGTGTGTCCGCGCGCGTGTGTGTGGTTGCATGCTCGCGAGTATGCTAAATTTATGAAATTTAGAAATTAACCTTCCAGTCGACAGGAGTTGCCACCTTGTACTTTTCTGTCAGTTGAAGAGATTCCACGACTCTCAATATTTCACTGAAATATTTAGTTTTACATAAATTTTACATTTTCAGAAAGTACGCTTGTTATTTTGAAGTTTATACTTACTCAAAGTTCCTGCCTGTCGATGCTGGGTATAAAATAGATAGTCTCATTTTTTTGAGAGGATCTATTATAAAGACCGTTCGAGCGGACACTGGTAAACCTTCAGAATTTAATTCTGAAGGATCCAGCATTCCCAAAGTTATAGCCAGATCTCTTGATTGATCGGCTATGATAGGATATGGGAAACCATTATCATTTATCTCTCCATATGCCTTGATATCCTGCACAAGGAAAATACATGTTTTGTTTGTATTTTTTCAGCAATAACTGCAAATGTACTAAATTTTCAAATCTAGTCTTATAATATGGGAAGTAAGTACTTATTAGTACATTGACATTATCAGTGTATTATTACAATTATTAATACACTGGCAATTTTGTAACGCTCGATGAATTTACATTAAGAAGATAAATGTACGCTTACTGAAATCCACCGGAGATGAGAGTCAACCGAGTCACAAGACAGCGCAATAATTTTTATACCCATTCTCTGAAATTCTGGAAATAGTTTTACAACTCGAGCTAACTCTGTTGTACAAACAGGAGTAAAATCGTTTGGATGAGAAAACAGGATTCCCCATCTAAAAGCATTATTGTAAATCAACGAACGAAGCAGACAATTAATAAAATAAAAAATAATTCCCTTACGAGTCTCCCAACCAATTGTGAAAATCAATTTCACCAATGTTTGTTTGTGCTGTAAAGTTTGGAAAAGTATCTCCCAAGAGGACCATCCTAACGCTGTATTTAATATTAAATTATTCACCTTATTATTCTGCGAATGAATTCAATAAGTTCGATAAATAATAAAGACTTTCGTCGTTAGTTTCCTTGGTAACAACCGCGGTGAATTTGATCCTCGTCGCAATCACTTCCAGACAGTCACTATTACTGTTATTTGTTATTCGCGTTTCACGTGCGAGGCGGTGTCGTCCATTCGCGCGCGCACAACTAGTAATTAGCTGATGTATAAGAAGTACTCGATGCCTCTGAATGGAAATAATATTAAGGAAATTAAGTCACGTTCAACAATTTGAATATGTGCGCGCTGCAATGGACATTGCTTGGCAATCGCGAATTAATATACAATAAATACAACTTTCGGACCCTCCGTCGTATCTAGCCAATCGAATGTTGCGCTCAACCGTCGCTAATTCAAATTCTCAGCCCGAGAGCACGGAAATTTTTTTGTTTAAATACGCCGCGTGTCGTGGGATAAGGGGGCTCGTGAAATCAAACGGTTGAATAAAAAACGCAGAGGATAATAAAAGGACTATTCATGTACAAGAGTAGGGAGAGATAGAAAGTAAGTAGTTGGATTGATACCTCCCCGTCGACTCTAAGTAGCTGTAAAGTCGATGCCGTTTGTCCGTCCTAATCTATTATTAGAGTATCGCATTGGTTTTCTCCCATGAAGAATATAAACTACTCCTGACAGAGTTTATTAAACAGCTTGACCCGATGACCTATCACGCCGAGGCCGCCGGTGCTTGAAGTCCGCCATCGATCTACAATTGCTTCTGCTGTGTGTCTGCTCGCTTCATTTGTTATATTCGTATTCCTTTTTTATCGAAATTTCTTCTCGTGACCGAAGTGTAGAATTATCGATCGTTACTTTGTGAGGATATTATTTGCCATTAGTTGTGGCTCGAGGCTCAATAATTTCACGGATAAATTACAATCTCCCTTTGGACACAGTAAGTCGCCGATAATAATAAGTGCGACAGTCATTGTGGGGCACAGGGGGGATGGGTGACAAGGTGTAGAAGATTGATGGTAGCCATGCTTGAGTTTGTAAATAAAGCCATTTTGGTTGAGATCGCGTGGTAATTCGGTCGTGGACGTGGTGGCGGCTCAAAATTGAAGTTATGCTTTGCCATTGCTCGCTTTTATTGCAATTCACCTGAATGTTGGAGAGCGTCAAAATTATAAATGCGGAGCGCCAAGGATTCTTGAAATGACTCGCTTGACTTTTACTGCAGAGCCGGCCGTTTTTTGTATAAGCAAACAACGATCGCGATAAATTTCTTGTAATACGTCGAAACTATATTTCAATAATGATGCAAGAGATAAGGACTTTGAAGGGACTTTTTCCCGAACCTAGTAAGGCGTATTAAAATATAAAGAACATTATTTTGTCGTTGGCTTAATGTCTGTCGATTTACTTTCAGAGCCTCCACAGCGTAAAAATTTTATTAAAGAGAATGTAAGAAATTTGCGCCGAATGGAACAACTTTTTCATTCTAATAGCAATAATAAAAGTGCCAAAGATTTAAAGCTACCGGTTTTAAAGCAGAGAAAATTTTCAAGTAAATTTAATGGAATTGGCGATAGCCAGATCGTTAATAGTAACGATGCCTTGCAAGAATTAAATACGAATAAAAACGTTGAAAATGAAATGCCAAGATTATTCAATCAAAAGTTGTTCATCGAAGAACAAAAGAACAAAAAGAAGACTACTCGTGTACTGTCGAATTCAAAATATATCTCGGAGAAAGAATCGAGACCGTTCTTAAATGGAAAAATAAAAAATCACTATTGCAGGAATCAGGTGGATAGTAAAAGTAGAAATCGACATAAATTGAAAGCATACTCTGAGAGTAATGTTATACAACAAACATTGAACGAAGTTGTTACTAAGGATGAGATTGACGCGACCAGTAAAAGTCAAGGTGTCCAAACGTTGGATGAGAATGATTTGAGCAGCTTATATTCAGAAGGCATTATAAGGTATATTTCGTCAAATTTCCTTAAATTATTTAATTCGATTATTAATAAAATTGAATTATATTGATTGATCGGATTAGGTGCATTTTATTTTTACGCTTTATGTCTCGTATTTATTTTTAGATATCCATCGGGAAGAACTAAAGAACAACAAAAATCTTTTACTAAAAGCAACGAAACTAAAGTACAAGAAACCAGTAACGATGTGATTAAAAATACTTCAAACTCTGTGTTAACTGACAAAGTTGATCATGTTAAAGCCAGTAAAGAGCGTATCTCTTTGGCTAGCAAACTTGTATCTCAACTTAATAATGGTACTGTACCACCAAATTATCGTGTTGGAGTTGTCCCAAAGTACGTATCTCAATGAAACATAAGATTTTTATAAAATTACTCCTTTTTTATGTTAACTTTTCCTTGACATATAGATATATTAAAGAAAGAAAAGAAGCTCTGCAAAAAATAGAAGAAGCCAAAGCTGCATCCAAGAACGTTGATTGTCCTAGTGGTCATGTTCCTGTTCCTGATAACGAACGCAAGCAAACCCTTAGTATATTAAAGAAAAGTAGGTTTTATTAAAGATTTTATGCTTAAAAATATTGATGTTTCATCTAGTGATAATAAAAATTCATTGCAGATTATCAAGAATTTGTTAATGAACTTAATATGCTGCCAATTCGAACAGACACATTGAGATCTCATAAAAGAAAAATGGAAATAGAAAAACAATTGACCAAATTGGAAGAAGCGATTAAAATCTTTTCTAGGCCAAAAGTGTTTATTAAAATTGATTCATAATCGTTTATTAAATGTATAAATTGTTCATAATTCATTATATTCTTATACTTCTAAATTCACACTAATCACCAACATTTGCTTTATATTTTGTAATTTATCGTGTTAATAGTTGATTTATTTTTTTTTATGATTAAATGTATACATATAATTGTTTTTAATATTTCTCAACGACACTCATATGTCAAATTGTAGAATAATAAATACTGTTCGTTATTTTTATAAATAAATTGTACTTTCAAATTTATTAATCCTTGATAGTATAATCGATATAAAAGCAATGAATACAAAAATGTTGATTTATTTAATAAAAAAAGAAAAAAGAAATGAGAGAAAGTCACTTTTGCAATGCCCAAAACTAAGAGACTTATATTGCAATTTGATTAGGTAGAGAAATTAAAAACATGTCTTTTTTCAGTATATGAAAAATATATTACATTCTCTATACAGATTATAATACAAATTAATGGAATTAACGTACATTTTTTTTGTTTTTTTTAATGTACATCAATTTAAGACTCCATAATTTTTTGGCATATCTAAATCCTTATCTATTAGATGTATAAATAAATGAGGATCAAATATTAATTTTTTTGATTGAAAGTATACTTCGTCATTTTCATACCATTTTTTTATATTAAAATCCTTAAAGAGTATAGCTATTTCTCTGTTTGCTGATTCTACAGAATCTAAAAGTCACAAATTCATTAATGAGTAATTGTGTTAAGACTAAGGCATTTTTATATTAAATACCTGATCCGTGAACTGCATTTTTTGTGTCGGATAAGCCAAATTTTCCTCTTATAGAGTTAGGCGCTGAATACTGAGCTTGATACACTTTTGTTGGTCCCAGTAGATTTCGCCATTTGGTGATTGCATTTCTACTTGTTAAAATATATATATCAGAAGGTCCACTGCATATAAATGTCAAGAGTCTGTTGAAATAAAATTTGTTCTTATGTTCCTTGTAAAATTCTTGGGCCTCGTCATCGCCAATAATAGTTCTGCGCGTTCTTACAATTTTAAAGTCATTATCAATTATTAATTTTCTAATTTCCTACACATGGAAGAAAAGTTAATACACATTATGAAATTTCAAATACAATAATAAATTACGATGCACATTCTGCATCATGGATTTAAAGAAAAAAAAACTTTTTTATTCATTGCATATGCTATTCTATATACTTATTGTATGAAAATTTACAAAATTTATTCAATTATTTTTAAAGTAATGAATTATAAGGTTAAAAAAATACCTTCAGCACGAATGGAGATTTAACAACATCGGGCTTAAGAATCGCTAAAGTTAATTGTAAATATGATTGCAATGTCATGATTACATTCTTACTTTATAAATAATTTACTTTAGACAGTCGAATTTTTCATTAAGTCAACATATTAAAAATTTTTAACTTAAAGATTTTTTAACATTAAACAAATGACTTTGCATAATGATGTACTATCGATCACAACCAATATTTCCAATTTAAATTAGTTTCAAAAACTTCTAAATACTTTGAAAACATTAAATTGTAAAAGCTTCTAATTGTTTACGACAATAGCCTTTAATACGATGTTTACTAGCGCACATTTTTTTTAAAACTTAAAATCTGAATAATATTCCTTTTAAAGTCATTAAAAAAATATATTATTAAAGGAAAGAAAATATATTTTGCATGCCTTCGATGTATCATCGATTTATCATTAATCATTATTGTTACAATAAAAAATTTCCAAACTCCTATTTATTTTTATTAGAAAGTTTGTCACTTGATTTTTTCTTTTTTTGGCTACAGATTTTGACCGCGAAATTTCAAAGATAAATATTTATATATTATTATAATTATACACATATTATTGTATTTTATAAATATAAATGTATTATAAAAATAACAACAATGACAATAGTCGGCAATTAATTAGTTAACAATAGGATAAGTGTTCCATTAAAATATGGTGATACAATGAGTTGATCGATCAACCAGTAAATTAAACGAGATTACGATACAAAATCAAAAAAATACAAAGCCATCATCATCTGTATATTAAACTTATCCGACGTTATCAGAACTCGCGAACCGAAATATTCGTAGGAAAGGCAATTGTTATAAAAAGAATCAAAGGTGTTTGCTTATTTGAAACAGAGATAAATACTGCAAGCAGATTGTTATTAGATATATATTTTTAAAGATTAATCAATTTGGAGAGTTGTGAGATAAATGGTTTCGTATTGCCATAAGCTAAGCTTCTTATTTTAAAAACATAGAAAAATCAATTATCACTGTTTTTAGTTCTGAAACGTTATAAAGATGAAAAATAAATTTCATGTTTTCCCGAAGTACATTGATTTAAGAAGTTTATTAAAATCATCAGAGAGACTTTTCGGTATTATATGAAATAATTTTTAACCATTGTATCGACATAGTATGACTTATGTTGTCCACTTTCAAAGTTTCTACATCGTATTTTGAATTTTTTATTTAAATACCAAATCCTTTTTTAAAGTGCAATACGAATAAATGCTATAATTTTATAAGAGAAGATTGATTTAGATCTCAAGTTACTTTAATAAATTTATTCTTGAAATTGGCGATTCAAGAAGTATTATTTGAGAATAACTAGAATTTAAATATTATATAATAATGAACGTATTTTAAATTTCGTGTATTTATAAATAAATAAAAGACCTACATACTACTTATTCTTATAAAACATATGATCTGTAATATTAAACGACATTACAAATATGATGTTAAACTCTATATAATTATAGTCGCGTACGCTGGTATGTCCTCTGTATTTATTAAGCCGTTTGTTAAACTACGTAAACTTAAAGATGATTAAACTAAATGTTCAAATGGCTTAAGAATAATTTGTAATCTTGTAATTTTAATGTGTAATTTTTATCTAGGCTTCTTATCATGTACCTCGTGAGACTTTTTTATGTTAATAATCGATTATTAAACTAATAAAATATTAATATATAAGACCGACGTACAAGATATATATTAGAATTGTTTTTATGAAAAAATTTAGTACAAAAAGCCGAATATTACCGTTTTTTATGGTATACATAAAATGTATCGTGTAAGAAAGCTCGTTTAATAAGTGTAAAAATAAAATTTCTATTTATAATCATTCGTTTTTCAATGAAATACATCAAGTTTGTATTAATTTTGAAAACATTTTATTAAATAATACATAATATTAAATAAATATATTATAATTATTTACATTTATTAATTTTATAATTTTTATTCTAGTTATTTGATATTTCTATTAAACAATATTAATTATTTTACAACTTTAATTTTTTTTTATTTATTTAAAAATAACACTTAATTAATTAAAATGTGTTATTAAAATGTTTCAAAATGGATGTTACATCATAAAATTTATTCATATTGTATCCATATATTTAAGTTACATTTAATAATAATATTCATAATTTGTTATGAGACCTCAGTTATTTTCATATTTATAATTATACTTGTTGAGTAATAAACTTAATAAACTTGTCTCATTTATTTGTAATTAAAATCATATTTCTGATATATATTTTCTGGCCAAAAAATCATTCTCTTTAATATGAGTAGTTTTAACAGATGGTTTGATATTTTATCTATTTTAATCAAATTTGCAATATTTGGTAAGCTAATATCATTTACTAATTGATCAATTATTTATATAACTTAATAGAGTTAATGGAAATAGTTAATATATTTATATAAGTTATATAAGATTTATACTTATATATAAAAGTAAATAGAAAGTAATTATTATATTATAAAATAATATCATTTTGTTGGCTAGCTAATCTCTGTAATTTTTTAAATGTAAACGCTCTTGTTGGACAAAATGTTCGACCAGCGGAAGAGCATGAATTTCCTTACGTCGTTGCAATAATGAAAGTTCCCAAACGAGGTCCTCAACTTCCAAAACATGAAATCTGCACAGGAACGCTAATCTCACTACAAGATGTTTTAACTGCCGAGCACTGTATAGTAGATTATTGTCCATTAGGCATCGAAATAATCGTTGATTCTATCGATTTATTACTTGGTAAAAAATACTTTCCATTATGGTGGATGACTTATAATCAATGGGCTACAAATAATAATATGAGACTCGTATTGTCAGCAAATGATATTGCAATCATTAAGGTAATTAATGATATATGAACCCAACATAAATTATTTTTTTACACTGAATTGATTTGCAAAAACTAAAAATTAAATAATACTTTCAGCTAACCGATAATGTACCTAATCATATTAGATTGGCAATTATTGCAACAACTTTTGAGAAAAGTATGTTTGGATCAAATGTTCAAATAATGGGCTGGGGTAAGACAAACGATGGTTGTATCCCTAGAAACTTGCAAACTGCCACTTTAAAACTTATAACAAACAAGGTATGCCAAAATATAATATTAAGATTGACCGGAGATAATCATCTAATACACAAAAGACGCTTGTGTACAGTTTCAGAGCCATATATATTAATGGATAGTGTGAGTATTTATTTTATAAATTGCAATACAATTTCTGGTGTTTCATATTTTTGTTTGTTTTATGCTAAGGATAACCCCAAGGATCAATGATAAATGCTTAGCAAAGTATGAAAAATTGTCCATAGACACGTTTAATAATAATGCATGTACCACATAACCTTTGAAAATAATTTGTAATAAATTCATTTTGGTAATTTATGTTTTTTTGGAAGAATTTAATTAGTAAATATTAACCTTGCTATGCAATATATTTTTCAGTCTTTGGTTTCATATTTTAGAACATACCACATACAATAATAGAAATAGTAAAATTCAATAATTTATTATCTTTTATCAGCTTTGATAGCATTGATTAGCTTCTTTGTGTTCATCTGTTCTCTAATTAATTCATTACACATTACCTGTCTATTATATATTATAACTTCTGTTTATTTGGATTTAATTTAATGAAATGAATTTCTTTTCTCCTTACACTCCCCCTCATACTCTCTCTTCCTCTTTCATTCTTCTTATACCTATCAACGCACACGAACACGCGTGCGCGCATACACGCATCTAAAGATATATAGTAACGATTAACCAATAGTTTGGATTTTGAAATCAATTACCTAAAAATGACCAAAACATATACTATACATTTGATTATTATAACAATTATATGAATTTGGTTTATTTGGTATTAACGAACGTTATAGTTATATTTTAATTAATAATTACCGACTGAGATATTGTTTGTCGACTTTATCGTTTCCAATAAGTGGAATAATTTACGTTTACTCAATTTATTGATCATGTGTATGTTTACATGCTTTCTTATATTATGAAAAACGTACGAGTTTCCATATAAAATGATAAACTGCAATTTCAATTTACTGGAAAATTAAACGAAATTAGAACAATAAATTTCGTAATCGAACAGATATATTACTGTAGATTACCGTAAATTTTATGAAAAAATTTATCGATGAATTGCATGCAATTTGAAATTTAACGTGTGAAGCATAACCAACCTAAAGTCACTTGCTTATAGAATTTTATATAAGATAATGATGAAGATTTACTTAAAAGTTTAAAAATATAATTACGAAATGTATTATCAACAACTTTTGTTAATTCAAATATTACAATAAAAAATCCATTTCGCAACAATTCAAATTTGATCGTTCTAATATATTTACGCTTCATATTCGAATAATGAAAAGTACTTGTAATTATAAAAAAAATATAAATACATAAAATTATATAATTTATATTTTAGGGTGACAGCGGTGGGCCACTTTTGTATAACAACATTGTTATAGGCGTTAATAAAGGAGTGGTTCCAAATATGAATGTAACGATGCATCCAGAACAAATAAATTTCCATTCCAGTACATTTTACTACAAGGACTTTATTTTATATATTAAAGAAAGGATGGAAATAAATTTCTGAATTAGAGTTTCATGCAAGTATTACAAATAAATATGTTATAGATAATATCGCACATTTTCGCTTTCCCTTTTCAGACTCGCGTAATATTAAATTGAGAGAGATTTTTGTTTTATTGTTTCTGATATTTGAAACCAATTCTTTCTTCTTTTACAATATGATAACATTAATGGTAATAATACTACATATCAATAAAAAAATTTTTAAATACTTTTCAGATTTCTTTATAAATACTGTTATGACTTTGTCATAATTTCATATATATTTATCTTCTTTATCGTTTATAAGTGAGAAAGATGTTAAAAAATTTAACTAAATTAAAAAATCAACACAAAGATAAGTTTTTCGGTAACAATATGACAAGTATCGATTCAATTGCAGTTATTAGCATTTGAGATGACAGAACCGTTTACAGCTTATATGAAAATTCTTATAAATTGTATATGTTCAGTAAAAATGAAAGCGTAAATAAACTTTGTAAATAATAAGAAAATGTTCGGTTTTACTCTGATTAATAAAAGCGCTTTTTCATTAAAAAAAAAAGTTTCTATTATACACTTAAAATAGACATGGACAATACTTTTTCTCCTATTGACCGCATAATAATATCTCGTTATTGCTCACCGCGATCAATCAGCGCTATTATTATTAAATTGCGTAAATAAATAATTTTTATTAATTATAATTATTAATGGAGTAAAATGTAAAGTTATTATTTATTAAACAGGTAATATCAAATTAATTGATATTCTAATTAATATTTACTTAAACATAAAATATTGATTGATACTATTGGAATCTACAATCCTAATTTCATATGTATGCATAATTTCACATATATACTTTTATCGTGAATTTATTAATGAAAGGTTATTTGTTACAATGTATTTAAATAATCTACATGAATTTGCAATTTTCTCAGTATTAACTATGAGATAAATTGAAATCTTAATCGATTAAAGTTATTGGTTGCCTGTACAAGCATTCTATGAATATTCATAATTTTATTTCTTTTTCATGGCTTTAATAATAAGTTTAGTAATACATATAAGAAATACCAATGCTTTTATATTGAAGCTTTTAGGTTCTATCAAAAAAGACATTATACATTTTGTAACGAATGTCACACGATCTAAATAACAAGATACTGTAATCGAAATATCATCGATGTAAAATGCTCTTATATTTTCTACAACTACCAAAATATTGTACATTATCAATATATATAATAAAATATTATAATAAAAATATTAATAAAATAAAATAATAAAAATGAATAAATGTGCGTACGATATAATAGAAAAAAAAATAATAAAAAATCCATTATAAGGAATCATTTTTTTTAATTTTAATACAATAAAATATAATAAGAGAATCGTGAAATGATGGAAAAAACAATTTTCAAAATTACTTTTACAATTACTTATTGAGCTACGTAATAATCTACTCTACTATTTAATGTTTCATAAATAATTATTAAATTTAGTAAATTTAATTTAAATGAATTTAAAATTGAGATTATTTTAAATAATCATGGATTAATTTATTTTATGGATCGTGCAATTATTTCCAAACACAAGTTTAAAATACCTTCTTTTAAGAGAATATTATTTTTTCTTTTTTTATAAATTTTTTATTACAATTTTAAATAACTTTATTTCTTATTTGTTTGCATTTCACATAACGACAATGATTAAAAAATTTCATATAAATATATATAAAAATATTATTTCATTACATGAGATAAAAACATTACATACAACAATATATTTCCTTAACTTAACGATATTTTCTTACAACAATTAAAGTTAATATAGTATGAGATTTCTTTTTGGAATATCGTTTTATAACATTTTAATGCAATTAAACAATGATTTATTTTTTAATTTCATTTTATAAATATTTAATGAATATTTTTAATATCTCTTACATAAATTTTTTTAAAAAAGATTTCTGAAATAATTTGAAAAAATAAAAAATTTATGGAAACGTAGATTTCATAAAAATGAAATTATCTGTATTATTTCTTTTGGCTAAAAATTATATATATTTTATTTAAAAAAAAAAAATATATATATATATATATATATATAGATTTAAAGATTATAAAACTTTGCACTTCCTTTAAATACTAATAATAATCATACATCAGCATATCAACTTGATTATTTTCATATATATATTGAAATTTACCTATTTTTAATTTAGAAAAATTTCTCAATAAAAATATTTTTATTACATCTACGTATACATAAGTATTATTAATTAGAAGCTATTTCTATCATTTCAGAAATATCTACAATTTTTTCTCTGGGTTTGCCCAATTTTTTTCCTCTTTCACACTCTTCATTATCAATTTTTTTCCATCCTTCATAATTAATTATGCAAATACCTTTCTTCCGAAGGAATTTTTGTAATTCATGATAGCCAGGCATTTGCTTCATTAATTCAACTTCTTTTGCTAATAATTTTCCAGCTGTAAATGCATTAGCCATGGTGGAAAGAATCACACCAATAGGTCCAGTAGCCACCCAACCAGCAGTATAAAGTCCTTTTTCCACTTTTCCAGATGAATTTATAATCCTTCCACTCTCCAAATCAAAGGGAATACTTGGATCAATTTGAGTAGACTTATATCCAATGCTTTTAAATGCTAAACCACACGAGATTTCTTCAAATTCACCAATTGATTTAGCAATTTGCTTTAAAAAATGATCACCTTCTAATTCATTAACGGAAAGTTTTACATTTTCTACTGAATCGAATCCTAAAAATTCTACAGGTCCACGTAAAAATATTGGATGAAATTCTTTATCGCATATCCTATTATCAAAAGATGATTCCTCAATAGATTTTAGCATCAGTTCTGTCAATCTTTTTCTAGGTCTTGCAAGATTAGGAACAATATCTTGGATTCCTTTGAAATCGTTAGATCTCCAATACGTTTTACAATTCTCAAGTTTTAATAATTCCCTAAGCTCTGCTATGCTGAAAGATGCTTGTAAAGGTCCTCTTCGTCCCACCAGCCAAACTCTCCGAACTTTACTTCGTGACAAACATTCTAAAGAATAAGACGTTATATCTGTTTTCTGCAAATGATATATTCACTCTTAAATTGTACAAACAGTATTAAAAAATTATGTGCTAGGGCAAAAATATTTACTGTATAACTAATAGAAAGTAATATTTTACAGATGTTTATACATATTAGATTAAAACTTATATCATTATACAATTTTTAAATCAGTAAAAATTAAATTAAGAATAAAACTTCAAATAATTTTATGCTTTAATTTTATAAGTTACCTTTAATTTATCTATTGGAGATAAAAGAATTCTTGCAATATCAATAGCCACATTTCCTTGTCCCAATATAATAGCATCGGTTTTATTTAAATCAATATTTAAATTTTGATGATTAGGAAGACCGTTATACCAGCCCACAAAATGATTTGCTGATATAACATTTTTTAAATTTTCTCCTGGAATCATTAATTTCTTATCTTCACTGGCACCATAAGTCTATGTTAAAAAAAATTTAAAGTATATGTTAATTTTTTCTGTATATTTCACATCAATTCTTTTCTAATTCTAATAATCTACCAATAATACTGCATGATAATATTGCTTAAGTTCATATAGAGTAATATCCCTTCCTACGTTTATATTTCCCAAAAATTGCACTCGTATATCTTGGGCTATTTTATCAAAAGTATTAATGACATTTTTTACTTCTGGATGATCCGGTGCTACACCAAACCTTACTAATCCATAGGGAACGGGTAATTTTTCTATTATATCCACTTTGACATTATTAATGCTCTAAAACAAATTTATCAAAAAGTCGATTGAACATTATATAATAAGAATTATAAAAATATAATTGTTCCTATTATACAAACTTTCAAAATTTGTTGTGTAGCATAAAATCCAGCTGGTCCTGCACCAACAACACAAATATGTGGAATAATATTTTGCGAAGATAGTTGCCGGAGGCACTTCAATAATATGCCAGAATTCGTCATTCTATCAATTATAAAGGCTGTATAAAATCTTATCATTATATTTACAATAAATATCAACATCAAATTTAAAATTTATCAAAACTTACACTGCTACATCCATTTCAAATGTCAAATATAGTAGAGTAATTATTTCATCATTTTTATATAATTCATTAAATAGAAAATGTATAATTTTGTATGAATCGTTGAAAGATTTTTTTATTTTTATTTCATATTCCATTATATCTTCTTTAGTGGGTAAATACAATTCAACATTTTGTTCCATACCAGCTATTTCAAATAACAGATTAAAAATATCCACAGTTTGAACAGTACAAAATCTTGAATTGTTTATTCTTTTAAATGGTTTTCCTACAGTAACACAAGTTTTGATTTGAAGCTGGTTAGACTAAAATGTTAAACAATCCGGATTAGAAAATATAAATTAATAGAAATAAGAACATAAATATTTAAAATACGTCAGAAGATATTTACTTTGAAAACGAATAATTGTAAAAGTGGTTTCGAGACAATTATGAAGCATCTTGTATAATTCAACAAACAATCGATTGGTTTTAATAATTGTTTTTTTTGGATATAATTTCATGAAATTTACACCAAGCTTGTGTGACAAATTCAAGATGGAAATGTCGCTGTATGTAGAATTGAATATTTTTTGCTTTATTTCTTTTAGCGGTGTGTACATGCCAGTCAGAATAGCAATAGTTATTTAATTTTGACTTAATTTCGTTTAAATCTGTTTTGATTTTTTGTAATTCTTCTATTTTCCAGTGCTGTTCAACAAACATTGATTCAGGCTTTGGAAGTGTGTATTTGTGATCGTCATTAATAACAAATGACTTTTCAAACATTTTATTTACAATTGTTAATAAGTCATTTAACTGAAATTCATTATGGTTTTGACAATTCATCGTTGATAAATTAATGTTCCTTGTTTAAAGTATAAGAATGCCCTGTATATTAAATATACAAAATTGTCCAATGAGCTAAATTAGTACCATTTAAAATTGCAAAATCAATTCAATGATATTGGAACCAGCAGTGTAATTTTGAATTAAATAGGTTATATACATACCTATGCTCTTAGTTGACAAGCAAGGAATCGCTTCAAATTATTTAATTAAGAAACCATTATTACGCATACATTTATTTAACTAATCATTAAAACTTATTTGTAAATTGATAATATAATTTTTTTCAAAATTTGCTTTTAATTGAAAGAGAAATAAATAGGTATAGAAATAATTATGCATTTAATTGTTATATTAAATTAAAAATATATGATTTTTGATATTTTACATTTGTTACATTGAACTGGCATTTTCATAAATAATAAATTCGAATATTAAAATAAACATTTTTTGTCATTAACAAATGATAAAATAAATAACCGAATTACATTAGTAGTTTTTAAATAAAATCATGTATCACTATGAATCTAATTAAAAAATTACAACTTTTCCATGAACAGAAAAGTACGTAACCTTTTATATTTAAGTATCAAATGATCTCTATTGTGTGTAAATAAATTTATATATATATATATATAAATCGAACGAGAGAGAGAGAGAGAGAGAGAGAGAGAGAGAGAGAGAGAGAGAGAGAGAGAGAGAGAGGCTTGTCAGTGGTTTTAAATTTTCTTGAATCTTTATAGATTTAATGCATTTAGCCTTTTCCTAATTAAAACTTAAATATATCAATAAATAAATAAATTTATATATGCATAACGAGAGTTAGAGAAGGTTGTTAGTGCTTTTAAATTTTCTCCTAAAAAATTCTATATTCATTAGATATTTTATATGTTATCATTCATAATAGTTGAAGACGTTTTTACATTCAAACAACATATGATTATTTCATGTATCTAGTAAGTTTATAAGGTACGTATTCCTACAGATGTTGTTTTGCATAGACTACCAACATGAAAATTCATTAAGCACTGTATTACCACCTTATTGTAATTGTAATTTTAGGAATATTGGTTAGTGTCTTTCGTTTCTTTCGTTGATGGCTGCCTGATCTCTTCCGGTTGTTTTGTAGATCGGACAACATGGGTACGCTTGTTATTTTATTAATTTTGACAGTATTATGTTTATTAACAAAAAAATAAAGATTTTCACTTGCTGTTTTCAAATATATGTCGAGTTCGTTTTTATTATTCTAACGACGTTCACGGTTATGCGTATTAATTAGTTCATGTAAAAAAAGAAGAAGAGGAAACTTAAAACGTGGTTATGCCATTAATGCCGGAAGTGATAATCGTTTACAATTCTACTTATACATTTTCTTTTTATTTTTAATTATAATAAATATTTAGATTAAGCAATATATGTACATTTACAACAGCCGAATGTTGCTAATAAAGTAAATCGTAGTTTCATTAACATAAAAATATATTTTTTTCACGTTATTAATTAATACGCTAAACCTTTGCGAACCTTCTGTTTTAATGTATAATTTTATTTTGTACACGTTTTAAGTATTAAAAAATTGTTGAACTTTGCACGAAATTTTGAGGTTATAAATATATAACTTCTGACAATTGATTTATTATTTTAGGTAAACCTCGCGGTCTACGTACAGCTCGTAAGCACGTCAATCATAGACGTGATCAACGATGGAACGATAAAGACTACAAAAAAGCCCATCTTGGTACGAGGTGGAAGGCTAATCCCTTTGGTGGTGCATCTCACGCGAAAGGCATCGTTTTAGAAAAAGTGTAAGTTGGTATTAACTTAACGTATAAATCTTTTATAAAGAATGCAAAAGTATGTAAAGGCATTTGTTTAACAGAGGTGTAGAAGCCAAGCAACCAAACTCCGCCATTCGAAAATGTGTCAGGGTACAGTTGATAAAGAATGGAAAGAAAATTACAGCATTCGTACCTCGAGACGGTTGTCTTAATTGTATTGAAGAAAACGATGAAGTTTTGGTAGCAGGATTTGGTCGTAAAGGTCATGCCGTTGGTGATATTCCTGGAGTAAGGTTCAAGGTTGTTAAAGTTGCGAATGTCTCGCTACTTGCTCTTTATAAGGAAAAGAAGGAACGCCCAAGGTCTTAAGTAGATGTATTTTGGTTCAATTGAAATAAATATCAAAAACGTGAAAATGAAAATTATTTATTATATTAAATCATTATTACTGTATTATAAGGATAATAATTAATTACTTTATACAAATTAATTTACAAAAAAAAGCAAATATAATAATAAAAATTATCATAAATTTTTATTAAGCATATTTTGAGCTTGTTCATTTAGAACGAGATTATTTTTGATCGCTACAGTTAAAGGATTGATTATTTTTGATTTTTGATTTAGAATCTCTGGTAATTGTTGATTTTTCATTTTATCTTCATTTCTTAAAGTCTAAATAAAAAAAATTTAAATTAGCTAGTGGAACTTAATGCGGTATGTAATAAATTTTAATCAATTACGAACCTTGTTAATAGTTAAAATAGTAAAGTGAATATTTTTTATATCGGTACATAAATCATTATAAACTTCTAAGAATGAATTTGAATGAGCATTTTGAGTTTTAGAAAATGCTAGTTCTTTGAAAGCTGCGTTAAACCTTTGTAACACTGGCTCATAATTATCGATCTTAAGCTCGCTTAATTCACTTAACTCATCCTGAAAATTCAATTTTAAAGTTAGATTTTCATTCATATTGTATTTAAAATATGTAAGCTAATTGTAACGTTTAACCTCGATATCGTTATTTAATTTGTCCAAGTTAGATTTTTCAAGAGACTGTTCGTTTGTTAGAGCTTTTTGTGAGTCTACTTCTTCATTTACATCAATAGAATTTAGTTCACTTTCTCCATTTATATTTAATGATTCGTTATTAGAATACTTATTTATAATTTCGATATTTTCCTATAATTGATAAAAAAGGTAAAAGCCATTATTCATTTATTACTGAGAAATACAAAACAATATAAAAACTTACTTTCAATGAGATATTTGCGATTTGCTTTTTCTCTTCAGTAGTTTGCATGTATATATTTTTTATAAATAACACCAATAAAGCAAAGAAATGTAATTGTTTATCGATATCACATTTTCCCTGAATTATACAAGAAACAACACAAGGCAATGAAATTTTTATGTTATAATTTTATGTTATACAATGAAAATTACATACTTGTAAGATATTGATGTCGCTGCACAGTCCTATTTGTGAATAACACCTGAGTAGCTTATCTAAATTAAGCGAATTACAAAAATGTTATAAGTACAAAACTATAAAACTAACATTATACCAAAAAATAAATAAGCGCGCACGTACCCTCTAGGGTTTGATCCTTTAATTTGTTCAAAGACAAATTGTTAAATCCTGGACTGTTTTGAAGCAACCATTGCAACAAGCTAATTCGTTTAGGTCCTGTGAGAATTGCATTTTCAAATTCTTCAAAACATATCCGTGCTATCTCTGGATATCTCAATTTCTCTAATATATCGTACAATTCGTGCATCACGCATTCCTTTTTATTCACTGAAAGTAATTATTTTTCGATTAACGAAGTATCTCTCCCTATCTCTCTCTCTCTCTCTCTCTCTCTCTCTCTCTCGCTGTCTCCTAATGCTTATACAATTATTTAATTCATTAATATATATTAAGAAAATAAAGTAAGTATAGTCTCCGCGGTTGTATATAAACAAAGGCACTCTACTAAATACAGTTCATCTTAGGAGGTTACAAGGATGCGTAAATTAGTTATTTAAGAAAAAATTAATCCAAGACCTTCGATTTCACTTACTCTTACGAGGTATATCGTATAAGACGCGAATCTAAAGCTCACGAAGGCTTAACGTAACATAACGCATCGATGATCACTAAGAAAACAATTATGACAATTTGTATTTTGTATCATCGAAAATTGGTAAAATAAGCATAGATGGCGCGTCGATGGAGACTCGTTTAAATCGCTGCCGCTCAGGTCATTTATAAGTAAATAATAAAGCGGCAGTGGTTTTGCTGGGTACTGATCGTATTATTGGACTGGACGGACGGCCTCACGTGCGACTAGACTACCATACGCTTTTACGAGTATAAAAAAACTTACACTGGTAGCAGCTGCTGTTGCCTCGGGTTGCCGGTACGACGAAGTGAATTGTTTAGAATTCGAGAATGTCTCTTATGAATAGTTTCGAATTTGATATTCAATACCGTTGGTTGCCATTACTTGCCATTACTTGCCTCTGAAAGCACTCGTCCGTACGTTGAAACTTGAACTTAGGCAAATTACGGGCTTTCACTTGAGATTTTCACAATCAATTATCACCTAAACGCGAGAGCATAGAAATTAACGTTAATATAATGGATGAAATGAAAGGAAAAGTTATATTTATGTAACGTTGGCTGTGTAGAGCTTTGGTCGTTTGATCTCAATTAGCTTTAAAAATATCTCAATAATACGTTAATAAAATAAGCAACAAATTTTTTTCACGTTCAATTTGGATCTCGAAGCTATTGATCTCCGTACACCACAATTCTTAAATACAAATTAAATCTCTGATTATAGCCGCATCTATGTAAATAATACGTTGGATTAACGATATGCAAACTCGAGTGAATTTATTAAATTAAATAAATATTAAATTTAATTTATTAATAGAGAAGTATAAAAAAAAACAATCACGAATCATTAATCATTTGTCTGTCATTATCCTAATGGAATGAAGAAGGCCTTTTTTTACATAGTCCTTCTACGGGAAGAAATTGTTAATAAATTCAATTTATTTTGAAATCCGTTATAGAAGATGATGAGAAAAATAGCTTTGATAAAATTGAAGCGTAAAATGAAGTTTCATTGGCGAATTGAACGAATTTATTGTGCTTGTAATGTATAATTAGACAGTTTCGTTTCTTAATGAACTAGGGCATGAAAATTAACAAGCGATGATAAAAATGTTGTTACTGCGGCATTTCTAGAAAAGATTGCGATAGCACTGCTACGAAAACTTTAGGCGTGATTTTAAAAAGATAATGGAATTTTTAAAATTTAGTACATTACACAACCTTATCATAAAATTAATTGAATAATCAATGCTAATTCTCTTAAATTAATGATCTCTGCCAACAGACTATTGAGCTTGGCAATCGCTTGCAAAATAATGTGTCAAAAATGTAATAGAAAATTTCTAAACATTAAATCATTATGTCATATCAAAACATTTTCAACTGCATACTTATATTCATAACATAGATTTTAACAACGATATCAATCATAATTGCACTTATTTGTATTCTATTTTATGACTGACGACGTGTAATCATATTACCTGGTGTGGATTTAAGCAAAACCTTGACACGATGTAAATACATTAACATTTTTCAAATCCATTCTTGAAAATTCAATCATTTTATAAGATTTACCTTATTATTAAATAAAACGTTTACAACCTCCATATAGTTATCTTAATTTGTTAATTATAAAAAAATTTTCTCTTTGATCATGAGCTCCAACACTTTTGGGTAAAATGTATTACATAATGTACTGTATAATGTGTGTATAAGACGTATTTTAAAATCTTTTACTTTATCGTCTCAAAATATAAAAGTTAAACGTTTTAAATTGAATTTGAAATAATGATTCAAAATTTTTATTGTAGATTTACAATTTTGAGATCGTTTAAAATAAAGAATGCGCGTATTATATATTAAATATTTTAGTTCCAACCTAATTGCCCAACTTTTATTTAGAAGTCATAGTCACTTCATAAAGTAATTACTGACTGATTAATCTGGACTACACATTTACAAAATAATAAGAGTAAACTAAACACTTCTAATTTAAATTAATGACAGCTCGCTTATTTTTGTTAAACAATTTTTATTTATTCTTATTAAAAAACCGCACGAATTTCTTAATAATTGAAAGGAGAGATGAGTTGCTTATTCACATCGTAACATTACGTACACAAAAATGATTAATTATGTTAAAACGAAATGTTAAAAATGTACAATAAATATGAACATCAAATTTAAAATTTTTCAAAACTTACACTGCTGCATCCATTTCATATGTCAAATATACGGTTCAGCTTTAAAACTTTAACTATTATGAATGATTTTTCATATTTATTATAAGTCTGATAAGAATAAAATTTCATCATTGCTTTGACTTTACTGACTTATAAAATATCTTCAGAAAATTCGTAATAGTCATTAATATATTAAATAATAATCTAATTATAATCTAGTTCCTTTCATTTATTTACATCATACAATCATATTTAGTTACATTATATTTCAGTGAACCAACTGATTCGTCATCTTGCTCATTAATATTATACAATTTGACTGCCACTTTCTATGATTGTATATGAGTGAAAAAAAGGTATATAAACAAGTGTTTTCTATGTTTGCGAAAAGGCACATTGTTTGTATTTGTGTACGAAGTCAGTGAAATTTAGACAGTACTGTGATATCCACTTATTAAGATTTACAATTATAGGATATAATTCAGAATCTAGAATATTTGTATTCATTATTTATGAGGTCAAGATTATTTTATACACATTCATTTTTATAAAAGACTCAAATATTTTACTAAAATCTTACCATATAATTCTGTTATGGAAATGATTGAAAAAACAATTGCATTACTTTTATTAACGTCTTTTGCAATTTTATGTATTTGTTCTATTTCTTGTAAAATAAGGTCTTCACTTATAAAGTTTTTTAAAATCACTGAATAGCCAACTTCTTCGTTTGTATTAAATTCTACAGAATGGAAAGTATTTGCCAGAAGATAAATTATGCCCACATTAAATTGAGTTAATAAAAGGAATCCAAGTAAGATTAAATTATCGCCTTTTTGCAACTTCGTGAGAGTCTCTTTAATAAGAGTAATTATTTCATCATTTTTATATAATTCATTAAATCGAAAATGTATAATTTTGTATGAATCGTTGAAAGATTTTTTTATTTTTATTTCATATTCCATTATATCTTCTTTAGTGGGTAAATACAATTCAACATTTTGTTCCATACCAGCTATTTCAAATAACAGATTAAAAATATCCACAGTTTGAACAGTACAAAATCTTGAATTGTTTATTCTTTTAAATGGTTTTCCTACAGTAACACAAGTTTTGATTTGAAGCTGGTTAGACTAAAATGTTAAACAATCCTGATTAGAAAAGATAAATTAATAGAAATAAGAACATAAATATTTAAAATATGTTAGAAGATATTTACTTTGAAAACGAATGTTTGTAAAAGTGGTTTCGAGGCATTTATGAAGCATCTTGTATAATTCAACAAACAATCGATTGGTTTTAATAATTGTTTTTTTTGTCTTTCACTGAATGAATCAGACTGACATTCTGATTCCCAACATTTATATGCAATACGACGTAATTTAGAATTTCCAACAATTTGAAGTTGGGCAGGTAATATTTGTAGTGGAAAAGCAAATACAAATTTATGAACAACTAATTCAAAAATTTTCTTTGAGATAGCGTTGTCATTTGCATCTGTAGAACCATTGTAAGATGCAATGTTATCTTCTATTACTTGGCATTGATGATCTTTGAAAAGTTGAGCACAAGATATTATTTGCGTAATGAAACTAACTGGTATATCATTCTTTTTAAAAATTGCTGTATCAGAATGTTTCCCAAAGACCGTTCTAAGTATAGGTAAATATGGACCTACGAATTCTAATCCTTCAAATTCTAAACATATTACATAAACTTCTGAATTTCCTTCTTTGCTGGTAACAGGTTTATAAAAATGAACTTTCTTAAAAATACAAGATAAAAAATAAATTAAACAAATAGATTGATGTTCAAAAATAGTAAAAATTTTTAATACGAAACTTCCTCCAACATTCAACATATGTACAGCAGCTACAACTTCACAAAAATGAAGATTAGCTACAATCTTTTCTTGTTCACCAGGATCATCGACGCAATTTACGCTACCATCTGCTGTGATTAAATCAACTTTTCCTTTGTGTTTTATTTTCTCGACAAGTGCATCCAAATTTTCAATATTCATTAAATTTCCAGTACCGTCATGACCAAAAAACCAATTTTCTAATGTATTCACTATGAAACGATCATCACTTATCATTTCATTATTACAATTACCCTCGTAATATGGATTCAATGTCATTGCTAACCAATTCCAATCCACAAGTGGAAAATTTGTTTTCAGCCAATGATTCAAGCATGATATAAATGCACCTGGAGCTTCGCATAAATGTAACGAAACAAATTTATTATTATTTCTTAAAATACTTTCAGATCGAATCAATGGATATTTGGATATAATTTCATGAAATTTACACCAAGCTTGTGTGACAAATTCAAGATGGAAATGTCGCTGTATGTAGAATTGAATATTTTTTGCTTTATTTCTTTTAGCGGTGTGTACATGCCAGTCAGAATAGCAATAGTTATTTAATTTTGACTTAATTTCGTTTAAATCTGTTTTGATTTTTTGTAATTCTTCTATTTTCCAGTGCTGTTCAACAAACATTGATTCAGGCTTTGGAAGTGTGTATTTGTGATCGTCATTAATAACAAATGACTTTTCAAACATTTTATTTACAATTGTTAATAAGTCATTTAACTGAAATTCATTATGGTTTTGACAATTCATCGTTGATAAATTAATGTTCCTTGTTTAAAGTATAAGAATGCCCTGTATATTAAATATACAAAATTGTCCAATGAGCTAAATTAGTACCATTTAAAATTGCAAAATCAATTCAATGATATTGGAACCAGCAGTGTAATTTTGAATTAAATAGGTTATATACATACCTATGCTCTTAGTTGACAAGCAAGGAATCGCTTCAAATTATTTAATTAAGAAACCATTATTACGCATACATTTATTTAACTAATCATTAAAACTTATTTGTAAATTGATAATATAATTTTTTTCAAAATTTGCTTTTAATTGAAAGAGAAATAAATAGGTATAGAAATAATTATGCATTTAATTGTTATATTAAATTAAAAATATATGATTTTTGATATTTTACATTTGTTACATTGAACTGGCATTTTCATAAATAATAAATTCGAATATTAAAATAAACATTTTTTGTCATTAACAAATGATAAAATAAATAACCGAATTACATTAGTAGTTTTTAAATAAAATCATGTATCACTATGAATCTAATTAAAAAATTACAACTTTTCCATGAACAGAAAAGTACGTAACCTTTTATATTTAAGTATCAAATGATCTCTATTGTGTGTAAATAAATTTATATATATATATATATAAATCGAACGAGAGAGAGAGAGAGAGAGAGAGAGAGAGAGAGAGAGAGAGAGAGAGAGAGAGAGAGAGGCTTGTCAGTGGTTTTAAATTTTCTTGAATCTTTATAGATTTAATGCATTTAGCCTTTTCCTAATTAAAACTTAAATATATCAATAAATAAATAAATTTATATATGCATAACGAGAGTTAGAGAAGGTTGTTAGTGCTTTTAAATTTTCTCCTAAAAAATTCTATATTCATTAGATATTTTATATGTTATCATTCATAATAGTTGAAGACGTTTTTACATTCAAACAACATATGATTATTTCATGTATCTAGTAAGTTTATAAGGTACGTATTCCTACAGATGTTGTTTTGCATAGACTACCAACATGAAAATTCATTAAGCACTGTATTACCACCTTATTGTAATTGTAATTTTAGGAATATTGGTTAGTGTCTTTCGTTTCTTTCGTTGATGGCTGCCTGATCTCTTCCGGTTGTTTTGTAGATCGGACAACATGGGTACGCTTGTTATTTTATTAATTTTGACAGTATTATGTTTATTAACAAAAAAATAAAGATTTTCACTTGCTGTTTTCAAATATATGTCGAGTTCGTTTTTATTATTCTAACGACGTTCACGGTTATGCGTATTAATTAGTTCATGTAAAAAAAGAAGAAGAGGAAACTTAAAACGTGGTTATGCCATTAATGCCGGAAGTGATAATCGTTTACAATTCTACTTATACATTTTCTTTTTATTTTTAATTATAATAAATATTTAGATTAAGCAATATATGTACATTTACAACAGCCGAATGTTGCTAATAAAGTAAATCGTAGTTTCATTAACATAAAAATATATTTTTTTCACGTTATTAATTAATACGCTAAACCTTTGCGAACCTTCTGTTTTAATGTATAATTTTATTTTGTACACGTTTTAAGTATTAAAAAATTGTTGAACTTTGCACGAAATTTTGAGGTTATAAATATATAACTTCTGACAATTGATTTATTATTTTAGGTAAACCTCGCGGTCTACGTACAGCTCGTAAGCACGTCAATCATAGACGTGATCAACGATGGAACGATAAAGACTACAAAAAAGCCCATCTTGGTACGAGGTGGAAGGCTAATCCCTTTGGTGGTGCATCTCACGCGAAAGGCATCGTTTTAGAAAAAGTGTAAGTTGGTATTAACTTAACGTATAAATCTTTTATAAAGAATGCAAAAGTATGTAAAGGCATTTGTTTAACAGAGGTGTAGAAGCCAAGCAACCAAACTCCGCCATTCGAAAATGTGTCAGGGTACAGTTGATAAAGAATGGAAAGAAAATTACAGCATTCGTACCTCGAGACGGTTGTCTTAATTGTATTGAAGAAAACGATGAAGTTTTGGTAGCAGGATTTGGTCGTAAAGGTCATGCCGTTGGTGATATTCCTGGAGTAAGGTTCAAGGTTGTTAAAGTTGCGAATGTCTCGCTACTTGCTCTTTATAAGGAAAAGAAGGAACGCCCAAGGTCTTAAGTAGATGTATTTTGGTTCAATTGAAATAAATATCAAAAACGTGAAAATGAAAATTATTTATTATATTAAATCATTATTACTGTATTATAAGGATAATAATTAATTACTTTATACAAATTAATTTACAAAAAAAAGCAAATATAATAATAAAAATTATCATAAATTTTTATTAAGCATATTTTGAGCTTGTTCATTTAGAACGAGATTATTTTTGATCGCTACAGTTAAAGGATTGATTATTTTTGATTTTTGATTTAGAATCTCTGGTAATTGTTGATTTTTCATTTTATCTTCATTTCTTAAAGTCTAAATAAAAAAAATTTAAATTAGCTAGTGGAACTTAATGCGGTATGTAATAAATTTTAATCAATTACGAACCTTGTTAATAGTTAAAATAGTAAAGTGAATATTTTTTATATCGGTACATAAATCATTATAAACTTCTAAGAATGAATTTGAATGAGCATTTTGAGTTTTAGAAAATGCTAGTTCTTTGAAAGCTGCGTTAAACCTTTGTAACACTGGCTCATAATTATCGATCTTAAGCTCGCTTAATTCACTTAACTCATCCTGAAAATTCAATTTTAAAGTTAGATTTTCATTCATATTGTATTTAAAATATGTAAGCTAATTGTAACGTTTAACCTCGATATCGTTATTTAATTTGTCCAAGTTAGATTTTTCAAGAGACTGTTCGTTTGTTAGAGCTTTTTGTGAGTCTACTTCTTCATTTACATCAATAGAATTTAGTTCACTTTCTCCATTTATATTTAATGATTCGTTATTAGAATACTTATTTATAATTTCGATATTTTCCTATAATTGATAAAAAAGGTAAAAGCCATTATTCATTTATTACTGAGAAATACAAAACAATATAAAAACTTACTTTCAATGAGATATTTGCGATTTGCTTTTTCTCTTCAGTAGTTTGCATGTATATATTTTTTATAAATAACACCAATAAAGCAAAGAAATGTAATTGTTTATCGATATCACATTTTCCCTGAATTATACAAGAAACAACACAAGGCAATGAAATTTTTATGTTATAATTTTATGTTATACAATGAAAATTACATACTTGTAAGATATTGATGTCGCTGCACAGTCCTATTTGTGAATAACACCTGAGTAGCTTATCTAAATTAAGCGAATTACAAAAATGTTATAAGTACAAAACTATAAAACTAACATTATACCAAAAAATAAATAAGCGCGCACGTACCCTCTAGGGTTTGATCCTTTAATTTGTTCAAAGACAAATTGTTAAATCCTGGACTGTTTTGAAGCAACCATTGCAACAAGCTAATTCGTTTAGGTCCTGTGAGAATTGCATTTTCAAATTCTTCAAAACATATCCGTGCTATCTCTGGATATCTCAATTTCTCTAATATATCGTACAATTCGTGCATCACGCATTCCTTTTTATTCACTGAAAGTAATTATTTTTCGATTAACGAAGTATCTCTCCCTATCTCTCTCTCTCTCTCTCTCTCTCTCTCTCTCTCGCTGTCTCCTAATGCTTATACAATTATTTAATTCATTAATATATATTAAGAAAATAAAGTAAGTATAGTCTCCGCGGTTGTATATAAACAAAGGCACTCTACTAAATACAGTTCATCTTAGGAGGTTACAAGGATGCGTAAATTAGTTATTTAAGAAAAAATTAATCCAAGACCTTCGATTTCACTTACTCTTACGAGGTATATCGTATAAGACGCGAATCTAAAGCTCACGAAGGCTTAACGTAACATAACGCATCGATGATCACTAAGAAAACAATTATGACAATTTGTATTTTGTATCATCGAAAATTGGTAAAATAAGCATAGATGGCGCGTCGATGGAGACTCGTTTAAATCGCTGCCGCTCAGGTCATTTATAAGTAAATAATAAAGCGGCAGTGGTTTTGCTGGGTACTGATCGTATTATTGGACTGGACGGACGGCCTCACGTGCGACTAGACTACCATACGCTTTTACGAGTATAAAAAAACTTACACTGGTAGCAGCTGCTGTTGCCTCGGGTTGCCGGTACGACGAAGTGAATTGTTTAGAATTCGAGAATGTCTCTTATGAATAGTTTCGAATTTGATATTCAATACCGTTGGTTGCCATTACTTGCCATTACTTGCCTCTGAAAGCACTCGTCCGTACGTTGAAACTTGAACTTAGGCAAATTACGGGCTTTCACTTGAGATTTTCACAATCAATTATCACCTAAACGCGAGAGCATAGAAATTAACGTTAATATAATGGATGAAATGAAAGGAAAAGTTATATTTATGTAACGTTGGCTGTGTAGAGCTTTGGTCGTTTGATCTCAATTAGCTTTAAAAATATCTCAATAATACGTTAATAAAATAAGCAACAAATTTTTTTCACGTTCAATTTGGATCTCGAAGCTATTGATCTCCGTACACCACAATTCTTAAATACAAATTAAATCTCTGATTATAGCCGCATCTATGTAAATAATACGTTGGATTAACGATATGCAAACTCGAGTGAATTTATTAAATTAAATAAATATTAAATTTAATTTATTAATAGAGAAGTATAAAAAAAAACAATCACGAATCATTAATCATTTGTCTGTCATTATCCTAATGGAATGAAGAAGGCCTTTTTTTACATAGTCCTTCTACGGGAAGAAATTGTTAATAAATTCAATTTATTTTGAAATCCGTTATAGAAGATGATGAGAAAAATAGCTTTGATAAAATTGAAGCGTAAAATGAAGTTTCATTGGCGAATTGAACGAATTTATTGTGCTTGTAATGTATAATTAGACAGTTTCGTTTCTTAATGAACTAGGGCATGAAAATTAACAAGCGATGATAAAAATGTTGTTACTGCGGCATTTCTAGAAAAGATTGCGATAGCACTGCTACGAAAACTTTAGGCGTGATTTTAAAAAGATAATGGAATTTTTAAAATTTAGTACATTACACAACCTTATCATAAAATTAATTGAATAATCAATGCTAATTCTCTTAAATTAATGATCTCTGCCAACAGACTATTGAGCTTGGCAATCGCTTGCAAAATAATGTGTCAAAAATGTAATAGAAAATTTCTAAACATTAAATCATT